ACACCGAGGAACAGGATCATACTGTTCCGGGTGAAACTCCCTTTCAAAGAAAAACAATGCATACTTAAACCCCAAGCCCTATCCCTTGCCACTAATAGCAATATATGACTAAAAAGGCAAAATATTCATGTCTATTTACATCCCAGTATAAAACAATATTGCATAAATCCCATATTCTGACCATCTGTTAAATGGCATGACCAATTTTTAAGTTTCACTTATCTTAGAGATGTGACAACCCAGTTTGGGTAATCATACAAATGGGAGTATCAAGAAGACATTTTAAAAGAATAGGGAATTGAGAGAAGTTCCAACTTGCTGATAAGGAGGGAAAACTCTCACAATCTTTAAGTGATAGTCTATAAAAAACACATGAAGAGACACAGCAAAATGTTAGGAGTGGACGTGTGTGTGTGTGTGTGTGTGTGTGTGTGTGTGTGTGTGTGTGTGTGTGTTGGGCTATGAAAGCCAGTTGTTCTGCAGGTATCAACACCTGTATTCACATAAAAGCCATGTACCCATGTCCACAACAGCGTTATTTGTACTAACTAAAAGTTGGAAACAACCACAATGTCTTTTCAATAAGAGAGTGCTGACCTGTGACCTAACAAGAAGAATGGATTACAGATTCATTATATGTCAAGTGAAAAAGCCAGTCTCAAAAGGTCACATTGTTTTCATTAATAAAACATCCTTAAAAATGACCAAATTACAGAGTGGGAACCAGATTTGAGGTGGGCATAGAATTAGCAGTAGGGTAGGGATTGATTACAAATGTTTAGCTCTTGTCTCTTCCCCTTTCTGCTCTTTCCCATCAACTACCCAAGAGCCTCTCAGTCCCCACAGTTAGCTAGAGCACTGCACGGAAAGTCCACCCAGTGTAAGATGCCAAAGCAGGGTTGGGGGTGTGTAGGTAATGTAAGCCAAGGATAGTGTTTGCCTAGTACGCTTGAGGTGCCAGAAACAATCTACAGCAAGTAAATACATTTCTTAAAAGATGTTTTTCAAGATGTCAGATTCCAGGCATGATAAAAGGGTTCTCCACAAAGAAAGGAAGCTCAGGCACGTGTTGTGGTTGGAAAACAAGTGAATATACAGCCTAACTCTGAGAACTGACAGGCAGTCCTATCAGTGTCACAGAAGAGCATCAACAGGAAAAGCAACCGCTGTTCTTTATCCTTGTAATCAACTAAAAATTGATATACTTTAAATAATACTATTTGCTACAGCATCCAAACAAAATGTGTTTAATTACATAACACTGAAAACTGCAGGCAATGCTGGGATAAATTAAAGAAAACCTAAAAATCTGCAGAGGTATGCCATCTGATGAATTAGAAGCCACTACGATTTAAATGTTGATTATAATAAAACCAATACCTAGAATTAACATGATCCAAATAAAAACCCAGTTTGGCTCTGAGTCTGCACATGGAATACAAGGACTTAAACTGTCCTAACAGTCTTGCAAAGAACAAAACTGGAGGTATTACTCTACCTGATTTCAAATTTTACCATGGAGAATAGAGTCGAAAAGTGATTCTGACTTAAAGATAGACACTAAGCCAGTCAAACAGAAACAAAACTTAAGAGAAGACATACAAAAATGCAGAAAAAGAAAAGTGCAATAAACACATTTAACAGTAACTTTATTAAAATGAGAAAGAACACACAAGGAAGAGAAAGATCATGAGTATTCAGATATTAAAGCAATAAAACATAAATCAACAAGGAAAAAGAATAAAGTATCAATAAACTCAGTCAATATGGATACAAACTAATAACATGCTTCACCAAAGCAGCCAGACATGAGAGAGACACATAATTCCACTACATGAAATTCCCAAGAGAGACAACAATAAACTATGATGGAAAAAAAATCCTAACAATTGTGAAGGCAAATTACTGGGAAGAATTTCAAAACAACCTTCAAGAATAATGAAAATGTTCTATATCTTGATGGGTTGTGGATTACATGTATGCAGCTGTCTGAACTCTGAACTGAAAATGAAGCTTTCCAATTTAAATCTTTCCTCAATTAAAAACAAAATGCATCTTCACTCAAAAGCCTGAGGTGGCCTAGAAAATAAGTCTTAAAGGATAATAACAATAATCTTAGAAGAAATGCAAAATTACTTTATACAAAGCAAAAGTTTTCAAAAGCTAAGACATCAACAAGAATATTGCAGGCATAAATATACCACACACACACACACACACACACACACACACACACACACACACACACACACACACCACACCCCACACACACCTGTCACAATGGACCTGGTGAACTAATATAGTCTGATTTCCTAGAAAGGAAATATGGGGAGAGTACAGTAACCTCCTGTGAAAGAAATAAGCTTTTTGCTGTCGCAATGAAGAGCCAATGAAGTCATTTGACTGAGGGAGTAACAAGTTTTCTCTCATTTGGAAAGATCGCTGCAGGATCTAAAAGGAAAAGGAGGTTCAGGCTATAGCCTCTCTACTCAAAGTTACTGCATTCTATAGACTACTGGATACAACCAACTTACCATCACCTGTAACTCCAACTCCAGGGCATCAAAGCCATCCCCACCCATCCACCCCCACAGAGATGTGCAAATAATCAAAAATAAAATAAATTAATAAAAAGAAGAAATCAACAGAAAAAAATAAAATAAAAATGTTTCTTAAAAATAGCAATAAAATCTGTAAGCCATTTCTGGAGGGAGGTGACACAGAATAGTACTCAACAGATACATTGTCAGTTTTATAAGATAAGGAAGCTCTACAACTCTGTAAATACATTTTAGCACTACTCAGCTGTAAGAATGATAAAGGTGGCACTAACCCACAAAACACATGCCTACAGCCAGGCTAAGAAAAAGGGCAATTGACATCAAACAGAAAAGAAGCAACTGCGTGTGCATTAAAAGGATAATAAAACTGGGAATAGCTTTGTGTCTGAAAACTGGAAAACATTGACAGAACTGACCAGTTTCTTGAAACAAAATGCCAAGATTCATAAAGAGATTATCTAAATATGCTCAAATCTGTAAGAGAATTTGTCAAAGATTTTTCTATTTTTCTAAAATAGAAAGCACCAGGTCCTGATGAATTTTAGCAAGCATGTAAAAGGATATGAATTAACTCTCTCCTCTTTCCTGGCAGATAGGAATATTACTTTATTTTGTTTTTCAAGACAGGGTTTCTCTGTGTAGCCTTGTAGACAGAGATCCGCCTGCCTCTGCCTCTCGAGTGCTGGGACTAAAGGTGTGCGCCACCACTGCCTAGCTCTGGAAGACAGGACACTTGCTAACTCATTCTGAGGATTGCAATATCAAACATCAAAACTAAATAATGACATCAGAGGCAAAGAAAATTACAGAACACTCTTTCTCCTAAGTTGGAAAAATAAAGTATTACCAAATCAAATCTAATGATGTAGAGAAAGAATTGTACTAGGATTCATTAAAGGCATGTAAAAACTGGCTCAACACTCAAGCACCAATTCATGTAGTCCACTATAAAGGGACCTCTGCCACTGAGTAGGTACAAGGTGATGCACATATACATAGCTCTAAATGGCTACCCAGTTATTCATACTATGTTTCAACACCTGGGATACAGGAAAAAACAAACAAAAAATACAAAACTACTACCTTCTAGAGTCCACAATCTATAAAGAGACAATGAACAAATCATCACAAGTCTCCATCTCAGGGCTCAGCCTAGAGTCTGTAGAAGTGGCAGGATGGTGATGAAGCACTATCTATGCTAAAAAACAGTGAGGAGTTATGGCTAAATATTCAGGCAGGATATATGATGATGATCCTCAAGCAAAGAAAAAGTGCAGCATTAGTAATAAAGGAGAATAAAATCCTCAGGACCTAGTACCAGTGATGAAAGAGGTAAGACTTAGGATCTGGTTCTGGTTTTACTCATCACTTGAGTAAAAATAAAGCAGACAACGGGGCGTGGTGCCAGCGTGCCTATAAATGCCAGTACGAGGGGTGGTACCAGGAAAGCTGAAGCAAGAGGACTGTCAATGAGTTTGAAGCTAACCTAGGCAACACGGCAAGACTTCATCAAAACAAACAAATAAATGTAACACAAATAAACGTAAAGGTGAAAGAAGACAAGACACGGGTGCCTAAAAATGATTATCTCAGAGTGGCTAGGTGAAATTCCACCACCAAGGAAGCAGAAGCAGGAAGTTGTGACAGACTTTAAGGATGGTCTGGTCCACACAGCAAATTCCAAACCATCCTGGCTATAGTAACAGCCTGCCACAAACAAGCAAACAAATAAATATCAACCAAAAACAAACAAAAAGCCAAAAACAACACCTTCAGTGCCAAGCCCTAATGTCTAGGACAGGGAAGAGTAAATGGCTGACACTGTTTCCAAAGACAAAATTCAACCAAGTATGCACAAAAACACAATGGGACATCCAGAAAAACGGAAAAAAGCGGCAGGCTCGGGTTTAGAGTATATAAAGCCCTGGGGTCATCTCAACAGCACACAAGAAAAAGGCAGGAATAAGACACACAAACACCCCAGAGTTTATGATTTTTCTCTAAATATGTTTAAGGTCTGGGCTCCATGCTCTTTATGAACACAGATGCTAGGCCTGGTAGTGGTGATGCATGCCTTCAATCCCACTGTGAGTTCAAGGCCACCCTGGTCTACACAGTTCCAGGACAGCCAGGGCTACACAGAGAAATCCTATCTTGAAAAATCAAAACAAACAAACAAACAAACAAACACCCAAATGCTAATAAACTCAGTGTCTTTCAAAAGCAAGCACTTAAAACCTGTACACACATAACTTCACCAAAAAATAAATGTTGGAAAGATTTCTAAAATAATGACACAAAATTCTGTCTTTCAAGTCTGATACCTGTCCACAGTTGGTCTACTAAAAGAATGATTGGCCTTTAAACTTTGTGATTTCTTTGGTGACTTCCACATTAACATTTCTAGTTTAGCTCAATGTCTTAAGAGTTAGTACTCACAGGGACATTAAGTGCGTACTGAAGTCCTTGAGGAAGGCGCTCATGGGTTTCCATCTGTTCTTCATCATTTTTCACCGTCTCCTCGTGAACCATGAGCTCATCATGCGATATCATATCCTGCTGTCTCATTTCACTCTCTTGTAACACTTCATCTGCAGCAAGGATCTCCTGGTGAGGCAAACTTCGATCTTGAAGTACTGACTCTTGCAGTTCTCCAGACACAGCAGACTGGCCAGACACTCCACCCATTACAACCATTGCCCTGGAAGACTGCATTTCGTCTATGCCGCCACATTTAAGAAACAATCCTTCCAGTTTGTCGTCAATGTTCATGCTTAAGTATAACTGCCTAGAAAAACCAAGTTTGGCAATAAAGCATAATAAATTAGTTTACATGTCTAACTTGGTAGTTTTTTTTAATTCAAATTATAAAAAGTATGCATTCAAACAGAAAGTTTTTTATTCATCTAATTCATACAATTATCAAGATGACTTCCAGAGGCTAGAAAAGTACAAGTTTTCACTTTGAAATTAAGGCATAATCCTAATCTACTTCATTACTGAAAATGAATCTTACACAAAATACATTAAAGGTGGCTTCAGTTCAAAAACCTTCAGATTTCAACATATTATAGTGTCATAAAATTTAAATGTATGAACTCAGTAAAATATAACCTGACAGAGAATACTATCAGGCAAACCACTAATGCAAACAAAAACCCTCACAAGTCCTAAGAAACGGCTATGATGCAGCTCAGTTAGTGCAGCACTTGGCAGACATGCTCAGTAAGCCCCAGTAACACATCAAACAGGCAGGGTACACATCCTGCAAGCCCAGCATGGGAGGCAGGCACACTGCTGCACGCTGAGGACATGAGAGTACACAGGATGAATATAATCCTCACTCTCCAAGTGAATGAGTACAGGGAGTGGGTCCTGTGCTTTGGTGTACGGACCTCTTCTCTAAAGATAGTGCTAAAGACCACCTTTGGTTTATCACCAAAATTAAGTTAAATTTCAATCAGAACTAAAATCAAAATGCCCTTTTATTTACTGAGGATATCATCAAGGGATGGCCTTTTTTTAAGTCAACAGTTCACAGACTGTTATAAACAGCAGAGCAAACAAAAGTCTAATTCAGAGTTGCTTGTCTTGCCTTCCAAGGTACCAGATGTTATTAGGCTGGAGGACATATGATGACCAGAGAGCAGTGTTTGATATTACCTCTCAAAATCTTCACACAGCAAACACACTCTTAAAGGTCAATTGTCTATAGCTTCTATCTTCACATTCTGTTTTACGCGTTTCTTAGAGAATAAGCTATTCTACAACTAAGTAAATGTTCTGTAAAGGGCTAAAAGTTGATTATTCTGGCCAATTCTTTGGAAATCCTTGCAAACTATGTGTTATTTCTAAACTACCCACTGTTTTTTTTTTTTTTGTTTGTTTGTTTGTTTTTTGCTTTTCGTTTTTTTAAAAGAATGTGGAAACCTGTACCAGAGTTATGCCATTTAGAATACAGCGGTTTAAATACTAGTCCTCAGAAATCTGAAAAATAACAAGAAAATGGGTTTGGAATGTATGGTCTGGAACTGCCTATCAGACTCTGAAGAATACATGTTTCAGCTTCGGGTTACAAGCCCCATTTATGATTTTTAAAATATACTTGAAATATAATGATTAAAATAAGAGAATGTGGAAAGCCCCTAATTTACAGGAACTTACATATAAACAAGAGATCTTTACTGCATCTGTTGCTGTCCCATCTACAATTATTTTTAAAAAATTATGAGTTTTAGAGAGTATGGAAGATGTAAAAAGAAATTTTAAAAAAGATCAACTTAAAGTAAGTGGTTTGGAGGAAACTCAGTTTTTGTTTTTATCAACAGAAAAGCATTCAGATGACAATGCTAGTCCTGCCCAAAGTTTCCCTATAGTAGAGGACCTTAACTGCCACAGTTTTGATCAACAATTGAAAATTACATTTCTGTACTTGTATCACTTTGGGAGGGGGACAAAGAAACAAACTAATAAAATATGACATCAAGCTGAAGCAAAAATTAAGGAAGCTTTAGAGACAAAGGCTATTTGGGGTGGAGGAAGCATCAAGTCCTTCAGTAAGGGTCTTGGAACAGGAAAAGAGCATGCTTCAAAAGGAGTGGGTAAATTAAAAATAAGAAGAAATAGTCCAAGGAGAAAACAGAACTGGCCTCTCCAAAAATCTTCCTGAAAACAAATATATGCCAAGATGACAAGACTCCTCCTTTTAACCCATGGTTATTTACTCCTACAATCCTAAATTAAGTCAAGTATTTAGACTTAAACTGGATAACTACAAATGTGTAGTTTCCTCCAATATCAGAAAATACTTTGGTATCAATGATCACGGCTCAACTTTAAAGTAAGCCTTGGAAATATTTATCAAAAGAAAAACTGTGTGTAGTCTCCCCAGACCCCACCCCCCGCCAAACACATAGGGTTTCTCTGTGTAAACCTGGTTGTCCTGGAACTCACTCTGTAGCCCAGGCCGGCCTCAAACTCACAGAGATCCACCTGCCTCTGCCTCCCAAGCGCTAGCATTAATGGCATGTGCCACCACTGCCTGGCTCCTTTCTCCTTTTTAAAAAATACCTCCTTTCCTTCTGGTAGAAGCCATTGCTGGAATTAAAGTCATGCCTCACCATTACCTAGGAAACTGTGGGTACTCTTGACCTAACACTTGGTTTGACAATGAATTTCTCCCCTACCCCAAGAGGCTAATTTATTTAAAAGGTTGGCACCTCAATGGGGGTGGTTTGGGGGAGACTACAGAAATTCAAATGATGGGACCTAGCTGGAGGAAGCAGGTCATGGGGCTGGGTCTTTGGGAAACATTATCCCTGTCTCCACCATTTAACTACCTTTAAATAACCTTCATTCATGCATTTAAAAAAAGAAAATTCTCATTTCAAGATCCTACCCTTCTGTTTGTTTAGCTTGATAGATACAGCATTTCCTATTCTTTGTCACTGAGTAATACAGAACTTCAAATGTACATTATGAGTCAAAACAATATGACAGGCAAGCTTAGCAACCTAAATATCATTTTATTTTCTATGAAAAAAATAATTTCCAATCTAAGAAAGGGTCGATATGCCACCCTTACACCAGAACCCATGAGGCCTAGAAAGAAACTTCGAGGCCAGCCTGGTCTACAGAGTGAATTCCAGGACAGTCTCCAAAGCTACAGAGAACAGAGAAACACTGTATTGGGGAGGAAAAACAAACAAATTTCTCTTTAGGCAGACACTCAAAGGTACTTTTTCTAAAACTCAATTATTTCTCTGGCCCATCAACAAGGAGCTTGGGATAGAACCCAGAGATGTGGGCGTGTTAGGTAAGCATTCACTACTAAGCTATATCCCCAGACCTCACAAATGACTTCTGAACCAAAACATTTTCACCAAATCCCTGTTTATTTGGAGGATTTCAATTACATTAATCTGGATATTCATAGTCTACTCTATTTACAAATCAGAGAGAAATCCACTGTGAACATATAACTTGAGAAGTACAAATATCAACCAGCTAGCTGGTTGTGGTGCTGCATGACTACAAGCAAATGGGATGCAAGTTTAGTGCCAGACTGGTCAATATAACAAGACAAACAAAACGCATGTGTATGTGGATATGCTTGGTGGAGAGTGATGTGTGCATACATTTGATGAAATGAAGAAACCCCTATCAATACCAGAATGAACCTTGACAAGTTTCTAATTCATTCCTTCAAAATACAGCTTTGATCTACTCAAAATTGTTTTATTTTTCATTGAAAAACAAAATACTTCTTGATTGGGCATAGTCTATATTCAGATATATCTCAGATATACTTTTTCTTTTTCTTTTGGTTTTTTGAGACAGTCTTCCTTCTGCAACCCAGTTTAGCCCTGAATTCATAGCAATCCTCCTGCCTCATCCTTTCCAAGTATAAGAATTACAGGATGACACCATGCCCAGCTCTCAGGTACATGTTTGTATAAATACCATTTTGTGTATTATAAAGTCTTTCTTGAAAACTACATTTTAAGTGCTAGTATTTCAAAACAGCCTAGTAAGAGCCATGTTCATAATAGAAATGAGACAAAATGGTCTTTCTGATCAGTGCCAGCAGCAACAGAACATACTAAAGTAAAAATCATAATTTTAACAGATATTAATAAAATTTAAGAGATTTTTCAAGATAAGGGTCTCCATTTTGTAAAAACCAACTTAGATAAAACTGACCATTTTTAACCATAGAAAAATAATGTGTAAGTATTTAAGGAAAAACACATTTCCCACATAATAGGAAAACCCCTTGAAAACCTAGGATCTAAGCACATAATATATTACAAATATATATCAAAATGTCTTCTAAAATAACACAAATAAAAATAGTGGCCTGGAGAAATTAAAAAATTAATTTTTGCAAACTCAAACTGTTTAAGAAACAGGTATAATTTATCTGTATCGAGAAGGCATTTGGGTGGAGGGCGCACCAAGTGAGCACCCTGAGTCCTAATTACATACAGTGTGCAACACGTTTGGTGCCAGCACAAACTCAAACTACTGACTCCATTAGAAAACTGAATTCCACCATTTCATGTAATACAGATATGAGAAATACTTCTTAATTTCCCTAGATACATGAAGAAATGCTTAATACCTTATGTTAATTAGGTATTAATTTGTTTAATGTGCTTCATTACTGACCAAGATTTGTCTAAGAACAGACTTAATAAAATTAAATCTGACACAAACTCTAGAGTGTCAGACAGCTGGCTGCCTAATACCCACACCCAAAACCTATTGTCTTCTATCTAATAATAAGTTATATGATGGGGCTACAGATGACTCTATGGTAGTGGTGGCACACGCCTTTAATCCCAGCACTCAGGAGGCATAGGCAGGCAGATCTCTGTGAATTCAAGGCCAGCCTGGTCTATACAGTGAGTGCCAGGACAAGTAGGGCTGTTATACAGAGAAACGGTCTAGGAGGTTTGGGGGGAAGGGACCACATACTCCTCTTATGGAGGATCTGGGTTTGATTCCCATCACCCACACAATGACTCACAATCATCTGTAACTCTAATTCCAGGGTCTCCAACACCATCTTCTGAGATCTATAGGTAGCAGGCAAGTACATGGTACACAAATATACACAAAGACAAAAACATAACTATAAATAACAACAAAAGAAAAATCTAAATTTTATGGGACACAGGTGGTAGTCAAATAACAAAGTTATGGCCAATGGGATATAAATGGAAGATATACATACAATTCCTTTAATAAAAAAAAAAGAATAATAGAACTGCAGAAATGGCTCAGCAGTTAAAATCACTGACTGATCTTTCAGAGAATCTGGTTTCAATTCCCAATATCCACACATCAGCTCACAACTAGATGTGACTCCAGTTCCAGATCTGACACACTCTCTGGCCTCTGCATGAACCAGGCAAGCACATGGATTACAGATAAACATACAAGTAAAACACCCATACACACAACATAAAATAATAAATTACAAAGTGAACCGGGCATTGGTGACACACGTCTTTAATCCCAGCACTTGGAAGGCAGAGGCAGGTGGATCTCTGTGAGTTCAAGACCAGCCTGGTCTACAAGAGCTAGTTCCAGGACAGCCTCGAAAGCCACAGAGAAACCCTGTCTCGAAAAACCAAATAGACAGACAGACAGACAGACAGACAGACAGACAGAAGATTTTCTTCTCCCCACTGGCAGGTACTATAGCAACCACACTCAATAAGATGGAATCTAGCAGGGCTGTGATGGCACACACCTTTAATCCCAGCACTTGGGAGGTAGAGACAGGCAGATCTCTGTGAGTTCAAGGCCAGTCTGGTCTATACAGTGAGTGCCAGGACAGTCAGAGCTACATACTGAGACCCTGTCTAGGGGATAAAAAAAAAATTAAAGTCTGCTCCAGATAAAAAATCCAAACTGAAACTATTATACAAACCCAATATGAAATCTACCATCCAACAACAACAACAAAAAATTAAATATATTTGGAAAGTTTATCTTTAACACAGTGGATTTAAGGAGACACTCCAAACACTTGACCAGTCCAAAACTCTATACAGTGAACTATATAATTAGAATGGCTGCCTCAGAATGTGTGCTGTTTTTAGCCATGACTTAATTAAAATAGTTTTATAAATAAATAAATAAAATATACTTTTTCAAGGTCATGAGAAATAGGTTACCTGAGACTGAAGTAAAAATGAAGACTTCAAGGAAGGGAATGCTGTTGAGTAGAGAAAGAAATCATGGTTGAGTTTCTACCTTTCACAGGCTCCAGAAACTCTCAAGATCCTCTCAGTCACTTGTGCTATCCAATTCCTAAAATTAAATACATACTCAATAAGCAAATCAAATTACATTCAGGAAAAGGTGATGTGACACAATAAGTTCTAACTGTATGAACACTAAAGTGATTGTCTGTAAATCTAGTGAGCCATGTCTGAAGGAAAACACACTGGCTTGTGTTTTAGGTATGAAACTGAGAAAACACAATAGTGCTAGGTAGGAAATGAGAAACAACC